ATTAAATAATTATTTTTATATTATTTGTATTATATTCTTTTTTTAAACATTATATAATTTACATAAATATAATTACAATACTGTTGAATATTCTAAATCAAAACACGGCTAATAATAAAAAGCTTACTTAATATTATACTATTAGTCTTTGATGGTTTAAATAATATAATAATATAATAATAAAAATACTAGAATATATTTAATTTTATACTTAAATAAGTATTTTGTGACGTTTATTATATATAAATCTATACTCATTAATAATAATAAATTATATATAACTATTAAAACCTGTAATTAAACTTACTTAATTTAAGTTATTAACAAAGGGAACTTTTATGTTTAAATTTTAAATTTGAATAATAAAAATTTAACATCTAATTAATATTAATAACTATTATTTATATTATTAAGTTACTTACTAAATTTTGTAAATTTTTATGAGCTTCTTCAATTTTTACTGCTGAATAAATTCCATTTTTCCTAATTTTATATTAATTTCAATAATTACTTAAATATTATTTAATTTACCAAGCTACAATTGCGTAAATTGCTTTTTCTGAATACTTTTTAACACTCATTACCATTTCTGCTTCATCCTCCCAATTATCCCAGTCTTCCAACTCCCTCTCACTTGGATATCCCATAACAACCGGTATCTTTTCAATTTCTTCATATTGTATTTCTGGTGGTTTTAAACTATTTGACCTTGAAGGTCTACCGGGGTGCTTATGTTTCTTCTTTGGATGTAACTGGTTTCTTTCGTTTATTTTTATTAAGTACTTTTCTAAAATATCTGGGCAATCCCTGTAAGTTGTTAATATTAAGCTAATTTGTAAAGTTTGTGAGCGAAATTACAAATTTTCTTCAAATTCCCAAGTATTGAAAGAAGTGTCATAACCTTCCCACTTTATATAATATTTAGTTCCTTTCTAGAATAATTAATATATAAAAATTAAGATAAAAATTATTATTAATTACTTCTGTTGTTTGATGATCTAATATTTCTTCAACAAAATAAACTTCATCATCAGATTCACTATTTTCTATTATTTCTTTCATTAATATTTTTAAAATTAATTTAGCAGTAAAAAGAGTAATTTATGTAATTTAAATTGAATTTAATTATAGAAATTTTTAACTAAGTTAAAATTAGAATTAAATTGAGGGGAAGTAATATTAGCGAATATTATTATTATTAGTTTGTTATTCTTTATTCTCTTAAATATTAATTTTTATAATAATATAAATATATATATAAAATAATAGTATAAAATAATAATAATAATATAATTAATGTACAAAAATAATATTAAGATGACAACAGAATTAGAATCAGCTTCAGTTACAACTGAACAAAAATCTATTTGGGTTTACTTAAACCGATTAGTAGTCATTTTTGTATACTTTTTAATATTTTTTATTTCAATAACAACACAAATTATTTACTCAGAGTTAATGCCTTTTACAAAGGATAATATTCCTACTTGGTTATTATATTACTTTTTAGTATTTAATATTTTATTAAATTATACTTTATCGGTTTTTATTAAACCCGGTGAAGTACCTAAAGGTTATGTAAGTTTTCTATTTATTATTATTATATTATTATATTAATTTATTTACTTAATAGAAACCTGATGAAAATAGTAAAGTAATAGAAGTTAAAAAAACTAGTATAAAACCTAGATTTTGTAGAACTTGTAAATGTTATAAACCTCTTAGAACTCACCACTGTAGCGTTTGTAATAAATGTGTACTTAAAATGGACCATCACTGTATTCTTATAAATTATTTTATTATAAATTACTAATTCAATTTAGGTCCTTGGTTAAATAACTGCGTAGGTCACCAAAATCACCCCTATTTCCTTAGATTTTTATTCTTTGTAAATGTTACTTGTATTTGGAGTTTAATTATGTCTTGTACTCAAGTTCAACGTTATTTCGATAATAATTACTACTATAGCGTAATTAATTTATTCAAATTTATTTAAAAAATTCACTAATATTCTTATTTAGAGAATGAATGAAATTTCTAGACTTGAAGTTATTATTATTGTATTAAACTTAATAGCTAATGTACCAACAGTTATTCTAGTTGGGTTATTATCTATTTTCCAATTTTATGGATTATTTGAGAATACTACTACTATTGAAGGTTTAGAAAAGGATAAAGTTGTTGAATTTGTTAGAAAGGGCTATGTTGACGAAGTAAATTATAAAAATTTAGTTTTATACAATTATTCTAATATTTTCTTTAGCTTAGATACCCTTACGACGTTGGTTTGTTTAAAAATGCTCAATCTGTACTTGGAAAGAATCCATTAACTTGGTTATTACCACTTAAAGCTATCGGTGATGGTTTAACCTTCCCTGTTCAAGTTTATCCAGATGAGGATATAATTTACTGGCCACCACCTGAATATATAGAATATAATAATCCTGGAGCAACTAAAGAGTCTAATAGAAGTACTAATCAAAGTAAGTTCTAAACTAAATTATCTAAAGACTTATTAACTTTATAATTAGGTTCATATAAAGATCAAAATAGGTCAATACAAAATGATCGTAATAGATATAAAGAAGGAGATGAGTACGTTGTACCTAGCACAGCTCCCTGGCATCGTCAAGATGAACTTAATTGGGATTCCGAATATTCCGACCCTTCCGAATCCGAATTAAATAAAGTTAGCGATGATGATGACGATGAAGAGGATGAAGTTCCAATTTATTTGAAGAATAGACCAACATTTAGACCTACTTCATTTAATAGATTCAGTACTTCATCGTATAATAATTATACTTCTTTGGATAGAGCCGACCCTGAAGAAGTATCCGAAGATGAAGAAGAAGATAATGAAGCTATTCCAATGGTTAAATCAAATTATAAAAAGAGCATTTAATTAACCAAATATTATTTCCTATTAAAATTAATATATAAAATAAATAATATTAAAGGCAATTGATAGATAAAGTATTTTTAAATTAGTATATGAGAGAAGTTATTTTTATTAACAAGCTATACAATAAATTTAAATAATTTAATTAGATTAAAATTTTCCCTAGTAATTAATAAAATTAAAAATTATCAAATAAGGGCGTATAGCTCAGTGGCAGAGCAATCGACTGCAGATCGATAGGTCCTTGGTTCAACTCCGAGTGCGCCCTTAATTTTTAGTTTTAAATTATTTTTGCAAAATAATAGGGAATAATGGTTAATTTAAAATTAACCTAGTAGGTTAGTAAATTTTAATTATGATTTGGAATGTTCAAACGTTCTATTGATTGAAATTGGTTAAAGTATTTAATAGTTATTAAAATCTTTTGATAATTAATTGATTCTAGAATTTTGTG